GGGGCGTGGCGTGGCGGGGCGTGGCGGGGCGGGGGCGTTAGAGATGTGCATACTCTGGCGTTAGCGCCGGTGAGGCGACGGGCCGCTACAAAGCGGTTCAGCCAACAGAAAGGGGGGAGAGAGAGAGAGAGAGCCTCGGAGAGGGGGAGCGAGAGAGAGAGAGAGAGAGAACACCAGTGTAGGTCGGACTGTAAGTGCGGGTCGACGCGGCGAGCGTGAGGACGATAGAGGCATGTCGTCGTCCTGCTCGGTCGACCGATGTGCCTGGCTGCACTCAATGAGCGTGGGCAGCAGAGCCCTTGAGTGGGCACGAGTCCCCCTGAGCGAGGACGAAGAAAAGGGAAGTCTGTTTGCCACCTAAACGGCTTTTGCGACCATCGCAATGTTATGTCCACACGGCCCGAGCACGATAAAGGCAAACGACCGACGCCAATGTTGATTTTGCAAACGTTATTGATTATTCACTTCCGTACTTGGGATGTGCGGCATTTCGCGTGTGTGGAAGTGCGCTGCCTACTCGGTCAGCGTCAGGGCAAACGAAGCCGCCCACCCCCAAAGAAAAGGAATAAAAGTTTAGCTAAATTCGAGGTGGCAATTAAACACGCGAGGCAAAATTAATGTCAGTTGATAGTTCAAGAGTGCAAAGTTTGCACACATAGTAGTGTGTTGTACTAGATTATGCGCAAATGGGTGGCATGAGAGTGGGTGGTGTGCAAACTTGAGACGTTTCGGACACGTCTAACGACCGCCCACAATGATATGGCATTCCGAAGTTGTTGTTCGGCAAGTGCGGCCGCGCGGCGAGACGATTACACGCCATCGCGTTCCAAAACGTACACCTCTGCACGCTCACTTTAACTGCTCGCCACATCTTTCCGAGCCGGCACACAGGGACAAAGGCACACGGCGGGGCCTGGCCCATTCATTCACAAAGGCGACCCGGCCGCCGGCCGAGCGGGGCCCCGCCCGCCCAGTACCTGGAGAGCAGCGCGCCGGGCCGGACGGGCCGGACATCCCAGTTCGCAATGCAAACGGTCGATGGCGCCGGCCGGGCCCTCCGCGGGGTCGCTCCGGTCGGCCGGCGAGTCGGGCGTGGCCAGCATGAAACCCCCCGGCCCGTCCGGCCCGTCGCCTGCTCTCGGAGGGTCATTTCCGTCACGTTAGGTTAGGTGTGCCCCCTCCGCCCCTTCCCCCCTGTTCACACACCGCACCATTAGCCGGACAAACATGTGGCATCAGCAAGGGCCTGGGAACGCCACGGCCCAGGCCAGGGCCCAGGCCAGGGCCGCCCGGCACCGGCATCGGCCGATGGCGGCGCTGATACGCCAACTCTCTGCGTCCTTGCGGCGACGACGCGACGCTTGGCGTCTACTTAAATTACTCTTCTTTGTGTGTTCGTCTGTTTTTTACGCCCCCCCCCCCCCTGCTCGCGCGCGGTTTGCGTCCTCGAGCCGTCCTTTTCCCATCCTCCAAAGCAGCAAACCGACCGCGCTCGAGCACGGCGCCGGTCCGCCCACAGCACGGGACGAGTCCATCGCCCTCCTGCCCCGCCGTGGTACTACACCTCCACCCGGGCCCCGGGCCCCGGGCCCCGGCCAGGCCGAGCCGAGGTCCGGTCCGGGGACGTGGTC